ATATTTTATTGGAGTACAAGTTTTCAAAAATAATTTCTAATTATCTTTTGTACTTCTGTAGTGTCTTTTGTGATATTTTCTTTTTCATCATGTATGTTGGTGATTTGAGTTTTCCCTCTCCTCTTCATTAGCATGGCTAAGGGTCTGTCAATTTTATTTATTTTTTTCAAACAACCAACTTTTTCTTCTGTCAATTTTTTCAATTGTTTCTTTTGTTTCAATTTTATTGATTTCAGCTCCGATTTTAATTATTTCCTGACTTCTACTGCTTTTGGTGTTGATTTGTTTTTCTAAGACTGTGAGATGTAATTTGAGGTCATTTATTTTTTGACTTTTTCTTCTTTTAAGGAATGAACTCCATGCAATGAACTTTTCTCTTAGAACTGCTTAATAGTGTCCCAGAGATTTTGATATGTTGTATCTGTGTTCTCATTCACCTCTAAAAACTTTTTAATCTCCTCCTTGATGTCTTCTCAAACCCACTGTTCATTTAGTAGCGTGTTATTTAGTCTCCAGGAGTTGGAATGGATTTTATTTCTTCTTTTATCATTAATTTCTAATTTCATTCCATTATGATCTGATAGAATGCAGAGTAGTATCTTTACTTTTTTACATTTGCTAAGAGTTGCTTTATGGCATAGTATATGGTCTATTTTAGAGAAGAATCCATGTGCTGCTGAGAAGAAAGTATATTTTCTCATTGAAGGATGAATATTCTATATATGTCAGTTAATTCTAAGTTATTGATTGTATTATTGAATTCTATAGTTTCTTTGTTCAGCTTTTGTTTGGAAGATCTCTCTAGTGATGAAAGAGGTGTGTTAAAGTCACCCAAAATTATTGTGTTGTGGTCTATTTGACCCTTGAACTTGAGAAGAGTTTGATGAATATAGCTGCTCCATTATTTGGGGCATGTATATTTATAATTGTTAAGTCTTGTTTGTTGTTAAGTCTTTATTGGATATGAAGATTGAAACATCTGCTTGCTTCCGCAGTTCATGTGAGTGGTATGATTTTTCCCAATCCTTCACCTTCAGTCTGTGGATATCTTTTTCTATGAGATGAGTCTCTTGGAGGCAGCATATTGTTGGGTCTTTTTTTTTTCACCCAATCTGCTAGTCTATGTCTAATGATGGTGAGTTTAGGCCATGAACATTGAGGATTATTATTGAGACATGATTTGTATTCCCAGCCATTTTTCTTTATTTTTGGTATTTAATGTGAATTGCTTTCTCCTATGATTAGATTTTCCTTTAGTGTAATCCCTCCCTCTGCTGATTTTAATCATTGTTTTTCATTTCCTCTTCTTGGAATATTTTGCTGAGAATGTTCTGTAGTACAGGCTTTCTAGTTATAATTTTTTTAACTTTTGTTTATCATGGAAGGTTTTTATTTCAATATATATGTATGTATGTATATATATATATACATATATATATATGTATATATATATATATATATATATATGTGTATATATATATATATATATATGTATATACTACCACACATGGAGACATATAAATGAGGTTATATGTACATAAGGCACA